CTTGACCCTTTATTTGTGTCACGTGTATATCTGGTTCAGTAGAACTGTTTTTACTTATAACTTGTGTCAAGTGTATGTCTGATTCAGAGGAACTGTTTTGACCTTTGACTGGTGTCGTTTGCACGGTTTTTGTTCAATAGAACTGTTTTGCCATTTGACTGATATTAACTATGTCTGGTTCAGTTGAACTGTTTTGACCTTCGACTTGTGTCACGTGTATGTCTGGTTTGTTGAAACTGATTTAACAGTTAAATTGTTTCACTTGCACGGTTCTGGTTGTGCCGAACTGTTCTCACCTGTGTTTTGTGTCAGGTGTACGGTTCTATTTCAGTGGAACTACATATATTGGTATACTTCCGCCACCATCATCATGATCCACACATGGAAAGCATGTACTACACGTATACAGGTAACACCCAACATCATCATCATCCATGCACACACAGCAGTTTGGTTTTTAGAGAATTCAGTTACCAGATGTATTTATTTCTCATTTAACACATCTGTTGACAAGAATGATTATATGACACTGAACTTTCCAATGAAAATGATTGTAGTACATCTACAATAAAAAAAATAATCAGTATTACTGTTGCTAGTTGATAGCGTGAATAAGTTGGCTTAATAATCCACTGTCATGAATATCAATTTCAACAACCATTTCTTGGATTATACAATACACACAAAATCATTGAAAATAAAACCCACACGAAAATTAAAGATTTTACAGTATGTTACTTTATGTGCACTGGTATAAAACATTGAGTATGTATTGCTTTACAGGTTGAAAAGCCAGATATCAATGTCTTTAAAAATAGGATCAAATACAATACAATAACAGCGACCAGCGTATCATACACTAAATAGTGTTATGGGTTCAATATCGTCTGACGACATTTGTTATCGGTACAAAACCAAAACCTGGCGCAGTTTTAAAACCTATTCTGCGAAAAGCTTCTGTTCGGAACTATCTAAGTTTTACGTTCGAATAGTAATGTTTTACACAGTAAGTAAGGCATAGTTGTGTGTATATCAAAGATGGCCACCCAAAGTGTATACGATTAATTTCCACCAGCATTTCTCAGTTCTGAAGCTTCGGTGGTAAGTGCTTAAGAATTTGTATATTTTTACTGACCTGATAACAATTATTTTGTCCCTTTTGATAAATTTTGTAAATAAATGCATTTTGTTTGTTTTGTTTTTTTTTTATTTCAATAATTCCCAAAGTAACGGTGTGTTTGGGTAATATTTGTTCCTTGTTTTGTATCCGGTTGTTTTTGATGCTTTTCAAAAGCAGGCTTACACATTTCCTCCTTGAAAGTTGGTATATAAATAAGGTTATTTACCTGGCGTATTAACATTGATTTACAATATAAGTGTTTTGAATCACATCATTACATATCAGGCACAATGCCTATAGTACATATTACTGTTCATAGTAAATGCACAAAGCAGGAAATGGGATTGGTGATAACAAAGCAATATTTCCCTCAATATCACGCGCTTGAATTGGATATGTGTCATTTCTTATTATGCGAGACATAGACATCTTACACAATGTATTTGAAGTGTAAAACGAGCAAGAACGTCGAGTCCCGATAATGTTTTTTATCTTTGTTTCTTTTATGTCACAATTGCAAACTGTTTTGATCTTTGACTTCTGTCAAGTGTATGTCTGGTTCAGTTGAACTGTTTTGACTTTTGACTTGTGTCACGTGTATGCCTGGTTCAGTGAAACTGTTTTGACCTTTGACCTGTATCACGTGTATGTCTTGTTTAATGAAACTGATTTGAGTGTTGAATTGTGTCACTTGCACGGTTAAGGTTGTGTGGAACTGCTCTCAACTGTTTTGTGTCAATTGTACGGTTCTGGTTCAATGGAACTGTCTTGACCCTTTATTTGTGTCACGTGTATATCTGGTTCAGTAGAACTGTTTTTACTTATAACTTGTGTCAAGTGTATGTCTGATTCAGAGGAACTGTTTTGACCTTTTATTTGTGTTACGTCTTTATCTGATTCACTGGAACTGTTTTTAACCATTTATTTATGTCATGTGTATGTCTTTAACTTGTGTCAAGTGTACGGTTCTGGTTCAGTGAAACTGTTTTGAAATTTGACTATCAAGTGTTTATCTGGTCTTTGGAACTGTTTTGAACTTTGATTTGTGTCACATGTATATTTGATTCAGTCGACATGTTTTGAACTTTGACTTGTCACGTGTATGTCTGGTGCAGTGTAACTGTTACCTTTGACTTGTGTCACGTGTATGTCTGGTGCAGTGTAACTGTGTTACCTTTGACTTGTGTCACGTGTATGTCTGGTGCAGTGTAACTGTGTTACCTTTGACTTGTGTCACGTGTATGTCTGGTGCAGTGTAACTGTGTTACCTTTGACTTGTGTCACGTGTATGTCTGGTGCAGTGTAACTGTGTTACCTTTGACTTGTGTCACGTGTATGTCTGGTGCAGTGTAACTGTGTTACCTTTGACTTGTGTCACGTGTATGTCTGGTGCAGTGTAACTGTGTTACCTTTGACTTGTGTCACGTGTATGTCTGGTGCAGTGTAACTGTGTTACCTTTGACTTGTGTCACGTGTATGTCTGGTGCAGTGTAACTGTGTTACCTTTGACTTGTGTCACGTGTATGTCTGGTGCAGTGTAACTGTGTTACCTTTGACTTGTGTCACGTGTATGTCTGGTGCAGTGTAACTGTGTTACCTTTGACTTGTGTCACGTGTATGTCTGGTGCAGTGAAACTGTGTTACCTTTGACTTGTGTCACGTGTATGTCTGGTGCAGTGTAACTGTGTTACCTTTGACTTGTGTCACGTGTATGTCTGGTGCAGTGTAACTGTGTTACCTTTGACTTGTGTCACGTGTATGTCTGGTGCAGTGTAACTGTGTTACCTTTGACTTGTGTCACGTGTATGTCTGGTGCAGTGTAACCGTTTTGACATTGAATCGTGTGTCAAGGTACCCACGTGCGCTATGCAGATGCTTGCGTGATAGAGAATGACCGCTTTGGAGGAGGATCGGTCATGGTACAGGGAGGGATTACGCATGGTATCAAGACTTCTTTGGTCGTTATTCTGGGAAATCTCACAGCCGTCCGCTATCAAGATCAGGTCTCCTAGCGCCGCATGTTGTTCCTCTAGTAGAGCAGCGTCAACTGACGTTTCAGCAGGACAACGCCCGGCCGCATGTAGCGAGGGTCCCCAATGTCCCCACCCTAGACTGGCCCCCATACGGCCCTGACCTCTCCCAAATAGAACATTTATGGGACGAGTTGGACAGAAGGATAAGACGTAGGCCGAATCCTCCAATCAACGTCGCTCAGTAGGCGTTGGCGCGGGATGAGGAATGGAATCGTATACCAATGAGAAGGGTTAATACCCTGATCAATTCAATGCACAAAAGAGCTCGTGCAGTTATTGCAGCTCGCGGGGGCACACACGATATTGATGGGTCCAGAACGCTCTTCATTTTAATGGGGTACTTTTGAATCAACGTCAAATTTGAAAGGTTTACTTAACGTACACGAATGAAATTCTCGTAGATGACAAGAGTGGTCAACTATCTTCCAGTTACACCATAATTACATTCTAAAACCCTTTTCTATTTCCCGTAGTTGACCTGGAAATTCCTAATTGCATTTTTTATTCCTTTCAGTATATGTGCGGCAGCCCGCCCGCCGCCCGCCCGGGTGAAAACATATTACGTCCCGTCTTTTGACGGGCGTATAAAAATAGAATATTTGTCGCTGATATCACAACGACAAACCGAAAACTTACCTATATATTTCATCAATCTGCATCTCTGGCAACCATGTATTGTGTTTTGGCTGTCAGTGTTCGACATCTTGCACGAAGATCGTAAACAAACCCCTAGAAGATCGAATCAGTTGCGACATGTAAACACCTTGGGTTTGGGATCATTTTAGAATGGGGTATGGTGATGTACAGAATGGAAAAATCACATGCTCTTCGAGAAGAAATGCTCGATTCACGTACTATTAATTCTACCTTTTAAGTAAACAGTATCACAATGAGTCTATGACCCTGATTTGATAAGTACTCGGAATGATATTAAGACGTTCTGACGAATGCTCAGTTGACCGACTTATCCAGCCAGAATTAAAACGTTTTAATGGATTCTTGTAAGGATTAAGAATCCGATATAAACGGGGCTGTCCGTTTACTTTTCATCAATAGGAAAGTTAGATTTGCTCCAAAGTATGACATACTTCAATATGATAAAAAATATATTCACATGTTAATCTTTTGTCTCTCTTATATAATGTATTGCATATACACTAAAATGTATCGATTAATAATTCGTTTTGAAAACAACTTCAACGCTTATACTAACTAAGGCAATTCTCAGTAGTCCAGAGTATCAAGTTCCTCTTTTTTAATCATAAAAGACTTTTGAAATATACATTGTTATTGTTAAACTTAAATCTTTGGGTTTTTTTACAACTGATTAAACTATGTGGCCCAAGTCCTTCAAAGTTTGGTAAAAGTTATCGTGCAATAAGAGAATATTTTGATATATGAATGCATCAGAGCTGGGAACAATTTTTATCATTTTGCAACCGTAGATATGTTGAGACAGGCCAAACTGATATTTTCTGATGGACAATTTTGGATCATTTTACAACCGTAGATATGTTGAGACAGGCCAAACTGATATTTTCTGAGGGACAATTTTGGATCATTCAGGCAAAAATTATACATTTTTGTGAGGTTCAAACTTCGTGATTTTCCAAGAAAATAAACATATTCGTTGACACTTCTTGGATACTTTTAGTAAACAAAATATACTGTTACTACTATGTACAATCCATGTCATTTTTTAATTTGTTTTTCATTCCAAGGACATCTAAATTCGTGGACACGAATTAAACGAAAAGAACTCTCTGTTTTTGTCATGACTGAATTAAAAACTCAAATTACCTTATTTGTATTTTCGCAGAGCCTAATGGAAAGTTGATTACGGAATAATGGCGTATTCCCTGGACAGGTCAACGTTAGAACGCAAGCTGGACAATTTTCCATCAACTTTTCGATTTGATACAACGAACCTGACAATAGAGAAAGTGACAGAATTAATACAAAAAATAAATGATGACAAAGAAAACACAATCCAACCTGAAACAGAGAAAATGAAAATGAATAATTTTCTTTCGTTTTTACATTATTTGCTGCAAGACTTTGAAAAAGCACTGCAACATCTGGACGAATCTCTACAAAGTGACCCTGACAACATTACTGCTAATGCGAATAAAGCTAGAATTCTGGAAAACGGGGAAGTTTCTGATGTGGAAGATATATTAATAAAGCTTCAGGCCTTAGAAAAAGAAGATGATTACAATAAGAGGAAATGCCATGCTGAATCAGATTTGGCGTATGCTTATTCGCGGTCGGGCCCTTGGTACCATGAAAAAGCAATAGATATATATGAAAGGATTGTACAGAAATATCCCACTGAATACGCGTGGAAGTTCGGACTTGGTTTGACGTTACTCAGGCGAACACACAATTGCCATTCACAGGCAGATGTATTTAATCAAGAACAAAATAAGGATACATTATTGAATGCTTTTGAAAAATTACAAGACGTTGCAGACAAATCGGATGACCCCGTGCTCTGTGGGCTTGCCTATGCTGCACTGGGGAGAGCAGTGTACACCATAAGGAAATTAGATATCGGTATACCACCGGGGATAAAGAAACTAAAAGATGGAGAATGTTTTGAAAAGGCAATTGCCAGATGTCCAGAAGATCCATGGGTGTTACACACCAGTGGCCAATTCGCACGTTACAGAGGAGATTTAGACAAGTCCGAGGAACTACTTCGGAAATCTATTAAAATCCGCCCAACTTGTAATGGATATCACCATCTTGCCTTGACCTTGAAAAGGAAAGTAGAAATGCGTAGGAATAAAGCGATCTCGCTCAATAGGTCTGACAAAAAAACCCATCGGAAAGAACAAGAACTTCGAAGAAAAATTAAATCACCATTAAAAGTTGAAGTTCACCCCGATGATGAACTGCTCACTGAGGCGATAAAATTCTGCGAAGAAGCAGAGAAACTTAGCGCGCATGCGTTAAATGTAAAGTATGATAAGGGCATACTATATTGCATGTTGGGTCAGAACCAAGATGCCGTGAAAACTTTCAAGCAAATAGTCTCCAAAAAGAAATGTCTTCCAAATGAGTCCTTGTTGACATGTGTGTATGAACAACTAGGACTTCGTCTACTAGAGTTAGCTGAATCAGAAGAAACATCTTCAGACATGAAGAAGAAATTCAAAAAAGATGGTCAAACTCATCTCTTACACGCTCTTCAAATTCAATCTGAAATAGTAGCAAAAGACCGACTGTTCAAAAAGTCTTGGAACTCTTATGCAACCCTAACGGAACTCTTCAGTGATGATAAAGGTGGGAAACCCAAAGAACTGGCTGTCCTACATATGCTCATGGGGGACCATAGAGATTCAATAAATGTTTACAACGAAATATTGATGAAGGATAAAGACAAAATGGAGCCAGACGATTATAAAAATATGATTAAATGCTACTTGAAAGATGGACAAATAGAAGAATGTGTTACTCTTTTGAGATCCTTGGAATGTACTACTTTTTTTTCGGACCTCTCTCCGTCTTTAGTCTTCAATACCTATATCGAAGGAGCATTTCATGCTTACACGACAGGCAATTCACAACTTGCGTACACACGCTTCAGACGCGCTTTCCAAGTATACGGTCTATTTGAAAACGTTACAAACCAGACCGAAGCTAATGAGGAAGTGGACGCAAAAGATGTACTGGTATTGCACTCTTGCGCAAAAGACTTGGATTGCAAACTTCTCAGAAATGTTTGTACTATTCTAGAAGACTTTGTTGGATTATCATGTACCATTTGTACCGATAATGTACTACCAAATAAATTCCAAATGAACGCGAAGTGTTCTCTTCAGCAAAATACAGCATGTATTATTATCATGACCCATGACAATGAGGGCGCAAGCGATTTTGTCCCTTCCACTCCCATGATGAGCGAGAAGAAAGTTGTGGTTGTATCAGATGATAAATGTAACGTCCCAGATATTGCCAGAGCACAGCCATTTATCCTGATGCCCCCTCTGTTGCCGGGCTCCATGCATACAGACGACCAGATCCCAGAAGAATACAAAGAATGGATCAAAACGCTCATCACTCAGCTGAAGCCAGACTAACTTACATGTATGATTGGATTACAAGATGTTCTAACCAGTTCTTCCCCATGAAAGACAGAATCCTTCCTTCATTTACTACATTAATGGACAGCTTTGCGTCACCACCTGTAACAAAATTGAATTTTTTTGCTTCATCCTTTGTTACAACCGATTTGCTTTTTAGTCTGTTCCATCATTGAACAGCTTCGCGTAATAACTCCTTACAACATTGTAGAGTTTCGCTTCATGCGTTGTTACACCACGGATACAGCTGTCATCACTTTTTAATCGGTCCCCCATTAAACATTTTGACACTTTTGCATGATGCGCTATACCAAATAATAACTTTCCCGTCATCAGTTCTTCTCATCAGTGAACGGGTTGGTATCATCAAGTTTTACGTCAGTGCTTTTAGCACTATTGCGCTGTTATTGAGTACTCCAATAACAAATTTGCGACATCATTTGAAATACTGGTGAACAGCTTTGCGGTATCATTTGTAACACTAGTGAAAAGCCTTGTGGCATCATTTGTAATACTGCTGAACATTTTTGCGACATCATTTGTAATATTGGTGGACAGCTTTGCGACATCATTTGTAACACTATTGAACAGCCTTGCGGCATCATTTGTAACATTGAACATCCTTGCGGCATCATTTGTAACACTAGTGAACAGCCTTGCGACATCATTTGTAACACTAGTGAACAGCTTTGCAACATCATTTGTAACACTAGTGAACAGCCTTGTGGCATCATTTGTAATACTGCTGAACATTTTTGCGACATCATTTGAAATACTGGTGAACAGCTTTGCGGTATCATTTGTAACACTAGTGAACAGCCTTGCGGCATCATTTGTAACATTAGTTGACTGAATTGGGGCATCATTTGTAACACTAGTGAACAGCCTTGCGGCATCATTTGTAATACTGCCGAACAACTTTGCGACATCATTTGTAATATTGGTGGACAGCTTTGCGACATCATTTGTAACACTATTGAACAGTCTAGCGACATCATTTGTAACACTAGTGAACAGCCTTGCGACATCATTTGTAACACTAGTGAACAGCCTTGCGACATCATTTGTAACACTAGTGAACAGCTTTGCAACATCATTTGTAACACTAGTGAACAGCCTTGCGACATCATTTGTAAACCTAGTGAACATCCTTGCGGCACTATTTATTGCAATAGTGAACAGTTTCGTGGTATCATTTGTAACATTGGTGGACAGCCTTGTGGCATCATTTGTAACATTAGTGGACAGCCTTGCGGCATCATTTGTTACACTAGTGAACAGCCTTGCGGCATCATTTGTAATATTGGTGAACAGTTTTGCGACATCATTTTTAATACTGGTGAACAGCCTTGCGGCATCATTTGTAACACTAGTGAACCGCTTTGCGACATCATTTGTAACACTAGTAAACAGTCTTGCGACATCATTTGTAATATTGGTGAACAGTTTCGCGGTATCATTTGTAACACTAGTGAACAGGCTTGCGACATCATTTGTAACACTAGTGAACAACCTGGCGGCATCATTTGTAATACTAGTGAACAGTCTAGCGGCATCATTTGTAACACTAGTGAACAGCCTTGCGGCATCAGTTGTAACACTAATGAACAGCCTTGTGGCATCATTTGTTACACTAGTGAGCGGTTTCTTGGCATTTTTTTAACAGTAGTGAACAGTTTCGCGGCATCATTTGGAACACTAATGAACAGTCGCGTGGAATCATTTATAACAATAACACTAGTGATCAGTTTTCTGGCATCTTTTTTTAACAATAGTGAACAGTTTCGCGCCATCATTTGTAATACTAATGAACAGTTTTCTGGCATCATTTGTAACACTAGTGAACAGTTTCGAATTTTCACTCGTTATATACAGAGAAAGACTATGTGTACACTAGTGAATTTGTATTTTTTACTCGGAATTTGGCTGTTATAAGTGACTTATGAAGTGTTCACTTAAGATATATATATACATGTTCAATAGATTTAAAAGATATGCATTATATTATATCATTCAACAGCTGAACGACTTAAATGTACAGAATGAACAGACACTCAAGGTATCTGTTCATTCTGAAAGGAATAGACATAGCTGCTGGACTTTAGTCCCCGAAGTTTGCGACAACTTGCCAATGTCATCTTCCGTCGAACTACTGTTGTTCTTAAGGTATTTGATAGCTTGAAATGTGTATACAAGGAGCGGGTCGGCATGATTTGTGTGCACTATAATTCACAATACAGTATATGCAATTGAGAATGAAAACCCTGTTATTTATGAGATAGCACTGATATTCCAGTCACAAACTTAAGCATGGCCTGTCTTCGTACAAACAGACACTCACTGGTTATTACTGTCTTAAGAACTGCATGATTTATACAGCCATGTTGTCATGTTGTATCTGCTGTCACCTGGTTGCTAGGTACGCAAACAGGTATTTATTTTAAAGTGTCTTTCAGCGGACGAGAACAGATAGGAGAAAGAGTAGGAGGGGAAAGTAGAATTGATGAGAGAGGGTGGGATATAGAGATGAGGTAGGAAGGTCCGTCTATGCTACTCGTCCTAATTCCAAAACTATAAGTTAGAAGGCGACCCCCGTTTCTAATGGTATACCTAGCCTACCATTTAACACGACGCAGCAAGAAGACCGTTGTCAGGATTGAGAGGGAGATGAAGGGGTTTCTACACTGGGTAAATTCCGATATGTTTATTGAATTGTGAGGTCCAGTCAAAATTACTTAATAAATATTCCAAATGTTAATCTAACTCTAACCTCTGGAAAGGCGTTACCACGCCTGTTCTTTTCCGAAAAGCCATAGAGGAGTCTTTATCGTGCAAGTTGAACACTCTCACACGGGCCACCACTTTAAGTCCCATCCGACTGACTGTGGATTGATGGTTAGTTGTTAGTATGGCGTTGGTAGTGAAAATTTTTTAGCCCATGTGGGTGTAATTATTCTTTTCCTTCCTATCATTCCTTTCACGCTCTAACCGCTTGTCAAATGTCTATACTTTCTGTAATCCATACTGTTCCTTTCTTCTTGTAACTTCCCGACGTTTTTATGGCTATAATTTGTGATTGTGAGGTTAGTATCGGGAGAGGTGGAGGGTGTTAGAAGGAGTATTCTACGTGGTCAATGAAGTAGGTTTGTTACGATATAGTTTTGTTGGCCGACCAAGTGTTATGGGGGAAAAAAGGAAGGAGGGGATGATCGGAAAAGAAGGCTACTGGGGGAGGTAGGAGGACAGGTAGGTATTGTGTGCACTATAGAAATGGTGTAGGGTTCTAAACTATATACTATCATATACCAAACGCGATACTTTTTATATAGGATGTGGCATTGGTGCGATCTTAGGGGTGGGTGTGTGGGGTTGGGGGATTTGTATAGTGTTTGTTTGGTTTGTATGTTTGCGCGTAGTGTTGTATTGTATGTATGTATGTATGTATGTATGCATGTATGTATGTATGTATGTATGTAGGTATTGTGTGTATGTATAGAAATGGTGTAGGGTTGTATGTATGTATGTATATATGTATCATATACCAATGTATGTATGTATGTACTTTTTATATAGGATGTGGCATTGGTATGTATGATGTATGTATGTATATGTGTGTGCGTGCGCGTGTGTGTATGTATGTATGTATGTATGTATGCATGCATGCATGTATGTATGTATGTATGTATGTATGTATGTATGTATGTAAAACCAGTCCATAACTGTATGTATGTATGTATGTATGTATGTATGTATGTATGTATGTATGTATGTATGTATGTATGTATGTATGTATGTATGTATGTATGTATGTATGTATGTTGTATGTATGTATGTATGTATGTATGTATGTATGTATGTATGTATGTATGTATGTATGTATGTATGTATGTATGTATGTATGTATGTATGTATGTATGTATGTATGTATGTATGTATGTATGTATGTATGTATGTATGTATGTATGTATGTATGTATGTATGTATGTATGTATGTATGTATGTATGTATGTATGTATGTATGTATGTATGTATGTATGTATGTATGTATGTATGTATGTATGTATGTATGTATGTATGTATGTATGTATGTATGTATGTATGTATGTATGTATGTATGTATGTATGTATGTATGTATGTATGTATGTATGTATGTATGTATGTATGTATGTATGTATGTATGTATGTATGTATGTATGTATGTAATAGTTATCGAAAACTGTTTATCCCCAATACCTAACAGGGTTCCATATACTAACAGCCAGAGTACAAGACCCGAGTCCGACTGCAAACCAGTCCATAACTTTTATACCCGAGGTTCCCTTTATGTATAATGTTTACTGGAGCCAGGGTCCTAAATGCGAAGTTTGTTTGTCTATCACTCCTCCTGTTTGGTCGTTTGTTTTATCTGTTACTATAAGGGTTGCGTTTACCAGTGTGTGGTGTATGATTATTTGCGCAGGTTTCTGATGTTCAGAAGAGGAACTGTGTCCCCTTATATCGCTCTAGATAATCTCCAGCTCCTGACACCTTCGCCGTTGCAGTGTGGTGTTGTTAAATCGTGTTATATTTTGTTTTAGTAGCCTCTTGTTTTCAGGTACCTGATGATTGTGCTGTGGACAATGCCCTGTTTATCAAGCGATGCTAGAATTCTGTTGGTGGAATTTATTGGAATTTTATTTCGCTCTAATACCTTACAGAGTTCTGCCCTAGCTGTGAGATGTTTAGCACAGAATAAGAGTACATGATCTATTGTTCCTTCGTGATCACAGAACTCACATTTTGATGACATTTATTTCAACATGATAATGATGTTTGATTTCAATTCTGTTTTGCCTAATCTTAATCCTGTAATCCTTTTATCGTCCGTTCTATCAGAACCGTATATTTTTGATGTTGTGTTTTTATAATATTTGTCTCAGATTGTTAGCGCGACTTTGGTCTTTCCATATTTGATTCCACTTGGATTCTATTGCTTTGTTGATTAGCGAGCAAACTT